CACATTACTTTTTTGCTTTAACTTTAATTAATTGAGGAAAGAGGAAGTTCATTGTGCATTGTGACTAGACTCCCACATGACATCTCTACCAAATAGGAGAAATAATGTCGTCTAGTAGACTAGTAGTTAAGAGGGTCTAAGTACTAATGAAGCAGTTCAGAAATGTTAGTTAAGAGGGTCTAAGTACTAATGAAGCAGTTCAGAAATGTAAGTCATAGTACAGGGGTTTACCAACAAATAACACATTTGCAACCGCTACCTCTACCACAAAAATATGTTGTAGCATTTACCATTATGCTAAAGTGACAGTTGCAAATGTGATAATTTATCAAAAAAGACAAAAGAAAAGCCCGAGAGAAATTTACATTACCAGGCCTCTCAACAGTATAAACAGGACAACCGAAAATGCTAGCTATGGAGCTAAGGATGAACTCATTTGAGGATGCCAATTATCCTTACCGCGGGGGGAGTCGGCCCATTCCAAATGTCTCAGCCATGCCCTCTCATCGAGAGGAACTGACCCTCTACAATGGCACGAACCTACATAAAACATGAAGGGTTCATTTATAATTCTAATCTTTTATATGATTTCATGCAAATATGGGGGGAAAAAGTAACCTCTGTACCTCTGAAGCAGCATCAAACTCCTCTACCTTGTGAACCTTTGTCTCATCTACTGAGTTGCCAGTGAAGTTCTCGATCACATAGCGGTGGATGCCAACTATACATGGGATTAATACAATACAAATATGAAATAACTACAATAAAAGATTGGAAACCGAGAAATAAAAGGATATAATTTTAGGACTAACTTGGCAAGGGAGGTAGAATCTCATGCTCCTTGTAATAGAAACCTAACTTTCCACCTGAAATAACACAGTGGAGTAGCACACTGGTCAGAAATACATTGTCAAAAACTGCAGAAAAATATTTTGAGTTAGAACAGTGCCATAAAACTGGATAGTCAAGATGACTAAAGTTTTGAATACCAATCACAAATGTGCATGGGAGACTAATGCTTTCTCTTTCAATTTTAAAAATCAAAACATATGAACTAACTAGAATTGGTTAGCTTACATTGTTAATTATATGTTTTCAACTTGATAAAGGGGATTTTCTTTAGGGGAAGAAAAGTACTGTTTAAGGTGATATGTAAAAGGAAGGCAAAGAAAACTAAAATACAAACCATTGAGATCAGGTGTTTTCTCCAATAACTTGTTGAACGAATCCCAAGAGCATGCTGCACACCTATTACGTACATCTACAAATAACAAATATAAATAGCCACATCACTAAAAAGACATTGATATGAGAATTTAGTATTAAACTTAAAACTTTAGGTCCATTGGAACTGAACCTTCTCTCGTTAGAGAACCATTTTTGTAAACAAGCATAACCATATAGCATTTTGGATCAACAGGATTAGGGAAAACATGCCCTTCTAGACTTGGTCGGGGCTCACTCGTTATTCCAAATACCTATAATAATCACATCACAATCAGAAGGCATACAAGTATCATTCATAATGGTTTTTTGTGTATATAACCCTTAATTCCTGCATATTTGCAGAACTACCCCCAAATCTCAACAGTAGCAAATCTTCCCCCAAATCATTAGCTTTGGGAAAAAAATACGCCCCAATCAACATATCATCAACTTTTGGCTTATGGTGAGTACAACTCTGACTATTTTGTCGATATTTTTACTTTGCACTTACAAATTATCTTATCAAATTTGATCATTTGTTGATTTATGGGGTACTTTTCTCCAGATTTGGTGATTTGGGGGTTAGTTTTGAAAAATTACTCCGATTTGGATGGTAGTGTTAGAAGAGAGTATTAGTTTAGCATTGGTTTAGTCCCACATTGCCTGTGAGACTAACTTGTAATTAATCCATCTCTATAAATAATAAAGTATAGAGTGAGCGGAATTCTCTCCAAGAAACTCTTCTCTCCAAATCATAACAGGTAGTTTTGCAAATATGAATGATTCAAGGGTATATAAAGAATAACCCCTCATTTATTTAATTTAAGAAATCAAAGGATGCTCCGTCACAAAGAAACTAGGAAGTTAACTTACAGTATCACTGGTTCCCAGACTTATTGCCAGATCACCAGGAGTATTGAGTGTCAAACCTGCAGACACAAAAAAACGCTTCTATGTTGATCAATAGTTAAGTATCACGCACAGAAATCAAGTAATACTTGATCTCTTTTAATGAAACTGGACAAAGAACATTTAACAGCTTCTGTTCACATCTTGTTTAGACATCAAGTAGCTCACTATCGAATAGCCAGGTGTGCATTCCGCGACTTCAACAATTTTCATGATGATGTCGAAAATTTGGCCTACTCTTCATTTCTCATATTAGCATATTTCGCAACATATTAAAAGTAAAGGAACCACTAAATTCAAGAAAATTGCCCTACTTTTCATTTTCATGAGCTGCATAGGTTTCCAGATTCTCATAGTTGACAGAAACTAATGCTTGCAAAATTATAACAAACAAGTTAAAATTCCACTTATCCTTATCTAAATTAAAGTTCAGACTGGAAATCATGAAGGTTCAGAATGAAATATGAACATGTCAGCCAACTAAAATGCAAATAAAAAGATAATAATAAAGGATAAATGTATTGACCCACAAAATCTAGAAATTGAAAGAATCGAAAGAACTAAAAAGTTCTAATAGGGAAGTTTCACAGACCTGCTAAACTGTTGGGATTGTCTCCAGACCACTGAATAACCAGACAACTTTCTTTGAAGCGATACCTGTTAAATTTAATAAACGCAGAGGTAATAATACTAATACTGGGCATTACCAATTTATCTAATCTCGTGAAATTATTATGGGTCATCAAACTGGAGCTCAGGTTTGTACAAATATTCAGATGATCTAGACTGCACTGTATTTATACGGCTAATGTGGAAACCAGCTGAACCTAATCGATTTCATGCATTCAAAATGAAGTGTGCAGACAATGTTTCTTTCATACAATATGAACTACTCTTTATTTTGACGAGCTATTCAGTTGTAAATTTTCACGTATACACAAAGAAGTGGGGACTAGTAGGAGTCTAGGACAAATGACACAGCATAACGATTTATTAGAGGCAAAAAGAAAGAACTCTGTGTCCACTAAGCCTATTATGTAACCATAAATTTGTCAAACTGATTTATGACATCTGACAAAAGAACCAAGAGAAGTTTTTCCTAATACATTTCTTCTTATCTGCATGTCATTTTTATTATTGAAACATGGTTAAAGATGTTACTTATCTGGATGTCACTTTACATTCTTCTCCTGCCGGCTTGTTAAAGGAAACAAAATGAGCCTTCTTATCTTTATGAGTTTGAGACATGATACGTATGCACTAATAAGACAGAATCAATTGAAATTTCAAATCCTTCTTCGTCGGGTGAATATGTCACTTCTGCTCAATGGTCTATGAAGATGATCGAGTCCCTATGAAAGGTTTTAAGTTTCGGATTGGGTTAAGCTTTGTGTATGAGGCTTGCTGGGTTGCGAGTGCATCATAAGAAGAACAAAAGTATTTCAAAGGCTTGAGAATGCAGTTATAGGACACAGTTGATAGCTAAAGGCTACCATCAAAGGAAGAGGATAGACTGAAATGAGGTATTCCCTCCAATTTAAAGCATATACTCCCAGCAATGTCTTCCAACTTGAGCAACTTGACGTGAAAACAAATTTCCACATGGCAAGCTTGAAAAGAAGATATACATGCATCAAGAAGAGACTCATTGTGGATGTCAAAGAAAATCATGTGTAGACTGAAGAATTTTTTTGTATTGTTCTCTAAGGAAGTAATATAAAAGGTTTCATATACCTTCATGGTTGATCATTAATACTTAAAATCTACATGATAAGTACATGTATCATAGAAGCTTTTGGAGGGTACTTTTATTGCTTTCTCTAAAATTATTTTGTGTTGCTTTTTCGAACATGGCAGTCGTCTGTTGAATCAGGAACCATCAGTTAGAATAGACTTATTTTGATAATGTAATTACAGATCTTTTACATTTTTAATGAACAAATTTGGACTCTTTTTAGTTCTCATATGCTATATGTTCATGCCCAAGCAAAACAAAACCTAAGTTTCATCCCTGATTCTAGTGATCATATTTATGTAAAAGGAAGCAAGAAATACAAACATTGAGATAAAAAAGTGGTAGCTGATTATTTTTTTAAAAAAAAAATCTTAGATGTACATTTATGATAAGATCTCTCAGCGTCTGACTCACCTCTCAACAAAATAATGAGCAATTGAACCAGCAACTGCATGAGCCGGTGCTAGTTTGCCAAGCTTTTCTTCTAATCCCGGTGCAGTAGCCTATCAAATGAAAAGCAAAATTACCAATACTTCAACTTGAAATTAATTCAGATATTCTTAATTAACTCACCTCCAATGCAATCTTTGACCACACTCGCTCTCTAATATCCATCAAATTCATTCCAGCTCCATCAGTTTCATCAATACTAGCATGTCCCCCAACAAAAAGAGATGCCATGAAAGAACTAACAAGTGATATCCTCTCAGTATCATTATAAACATCTCGCTTCGTTTCATATAACTTCCTAATTTGAGGTCCAGTATATCTCTCATGTGCACGAGACCCAGAAAGTCTCGATAACTCCAATGCACCCCCAACTTCTTTCTCTATCTCTCTACATTGCAAAGTTGTACTGCTATCCATCCATATTGGCGAGTCTTTGGTGGAGAAAGCATTGGAAAGTTGAGATACCAAAGGTTTGTTAGGATCCAAAGAGGCTAAAATGGATGAACTTCCCTTTTTCCAGTAAACACTTCCATGTTGCTGTCCACTCCCTGATATGGCTACAATCTTGCTGAAATCGACTTTTAATTTTAGTTTGTCAAGGAGAATGTCGAGAGCTTCGACCCACATTAATGTAGGGGAGACTATTCTGCCATCCTCTAAAGGGTCTCTATAAACCCCATCTTTGGTTTTGTAGTGTGGCAAGTGAGAATCGAAATGAACAGTTTCTGAAGTAATGATTGTTAAGTTAGCATCTAGCACTGTTGCTTTCAAAGACCTGTCAATAGAAATTGGATAGTCAGTAGATTAGTTAACCATTATAAAAGCGTCAATTGCGAACAGAACCCCTGTAGTTTCAGCCAATTGCGAATAGACCCTCTGCAGTTCTATTTTTTGCAAATACACCCCCGAGTGATTTTTTACCTCTTAAAATCGTTATAAAGGTTTGAGGAGGCAGTTAGACCCCTATAGGTGAGGATAGACCCTTATTTGCTAAGATTTTTCACTTTTAAAATAATCGAAAAAGTTCACTAAGATGGTGTATTCACACCTGGGCCAATAGTACAATAGTACAGGGGGTCTATACGTCACAAATAGAACAATAGGCAGTCTATTTGCAAGGTGATACTACAGGGGTCTATTCGCAATTAACCTATTATAAAATAAAATAATAAAATAATGAAAGAGTAATAATGCCTTAACATAGTATCAGTCCTTCCCCAATGAAAAAAACCATTTTACTTTCATCTTAATAACGACACTTAAAAGATAACAGGCTGATGTGCTATAAAAGGACTATAACAGTCTAGTTCAAAGAATCGAAGACTTGTTATATTGTTATTTTTGGGAAATATCCATAGTCATGCAACGTAGTGCCTTATATTTTCTTTTAGTTATAGGGGGTTAGATTATGTGCGAGTGACAAAATTGTTTCTAACTTAACATTGGGATGCTTTGTTAAGGTGTTACCAATGAAACATAGGAGGTTCTACGACAATGTTTTCTCTGAAAAAGTAAACGTGTCATCCCAAATATCTAAATGCTAATTCTAACAAAAAAAAAATATCCCACAGAAAATTCACTTCAAGCTCCATGTGAGTTGATAAAAAGGAGAATCAGGCTATTCATTGAGAAAAGCACGCTCAAGAATATCTGCAATATACCGCTGAGATATAAAGATATCCTAAAAAAGAGTAGGTAAGAGAATAAAACAGACAACCAAATGTACGAAGGTGTGAGATTTAGAGAAACGAGCATATGGCGATGAGTGACACCTGAGTCAAAGTGCCAAGGGTCAAGTGACACATATCTATACGATGGCCCAAAATATTCCTCAGTTGCGATGCTCCTTATCCAAATCTCAGCTTCTGATCCGCCGTAAGAATGAGGGGGTTGCTTCGAACATACACGCACATAATGTGGGGATATCTAGCTGCATATTGTTTGAGGGCTAGATGCATACTCAGTTGTATGCATTGTTGTTTACTGTTTTAATATGTTACATATCTAGGGCATCATACAAACAAAAGATTTCGATCGTAACATGATAAAAATCTGTAGTCTAGTCCATATTGATTAGCAGATGAATGTATACTCAGTTGTATACATTCAACGTGTGTACAGCAGTAAACACCTGCCATTTTGCCTTGCCAGCTAGTGAGCAGATCAATCTACTTGAATTACTCTATCATTACTACAATCTGTTCTAACCAAGGCCTAATCTAGAGTCTGTATTTAAATCAGTGAGGTTCCAAACCCAAAAAATTCCTGGCATCTCCAAAAAGATTGAAAAGGCCAACATGAAAATTATGCATTTTTATATCCACCCTGTTCTTAAATGTGCATCTAAATTGGAAATAACGAAACCCAAATGAGCAAAATAACTACAAATGCCAAAAAAAAAAAAGAGGTACCATCTCCATATATTACGATCATTAAAACACAAAAAACACAACACAGAGAAAATACAAAATCATATACCTCAACTTTATCTGTGTTAATCATCTAAAACCATAAAAAAATTGAATCTTTCACTTACTGAGTGGAGCTATCAAAACCCAGGAAAAGGGAATCGTGAGGAAGAGAGAGGCCCATTGGTAATCCGTCGATGGAGCCCATTGACCCCTCTGCTTAAGTTTTATAAGAAAAAGGACAAAATTGGGTGAAAAAGAGGAGAAAACGGGGGTTTTATAGACAAGAAGATAATGGTGGTGAAAATGAAATCACGGAATAAATTTGCACCATACGTGGGATTATCAGAAAAATAGTCATTGTAGAGTCGAGATTACCTTCTTCCCTCCCACGGTTGATTACCAAATGACCACGAACTGAGCCGATACGCTTTGCCCTCTTTACCTCTTTAGAGAAATAAGCCATTATTTTGTTGTTAGAGGCATATAGACGGGCTAAGATTTCATCCTCCACCTCCCATTGTTTCATATCCTCCTCCCATTGTTCAACATAATGAGAAAATGTTTCGTCATCAGAAGAGGACGAAGAAGAAGATAGATGTGATGGTCCAGCTCCAGCTCCATAGTTCATTGTTGAAAAGGGGATTTGGAGAAATGAAAGAAGATTGGTGATGAGTTGTTAATAACTGTATGTTGTGTCATTATATAATGTTTCTACCCATATTGAATTCTTTCACCCGTATCGTTTTCTACCCACATTAGATTCTCTCACTGGCGTTGGTTTTCTACTCACATTGGATTCTTTCCCGCATTGTTTTCTACGCACATTGGATTCTCCCACTAGCATTGGTTTTCTCATCACTTTGGATTCTTTCCCGCATCGTTTTCTACCCACATTGGATTCTCCCACTGACATTGGATTCTATCTCACATTGTATTCTTTCCCACATTAGATTCTTTTCTGCATCGTTTTCTACTCACATTAGATTCTCCCACTGATATTGGATTTTTTTCTCACATTGGATTCTTTTTTGCATCGTTTTCTAGCTACATTGGATTCTCCCATTGACATTAGATTCTTTCCCACATTGGATTATTCATAATTTTTTCACTATAAATACTAGCACAATCCTCATTCCTCCATCACAACTCTTCTCATTCCTCCTTCATAACTTTTCTCAACAACTCTTCGTCATTCTCTTATGGCATCCAGTCGCGGAAAATCATTCTTACAAGAAGAAGATCAAATTTTATGCGCTACATGGTTTGAAATATCTTAGGATTTAGTTTTAGGATCTAATCAAAAGAAAGACAAGCTATGAGAGCGAATTTCAGCTCTATTTCATGAAAGAATTTCCAACGTTTGCACTGGACATAGGAGTTCGAAGTCTCTCTCATGTCGAATGCAATTAATTATGAAAGCCATCAATAAATTTCGAGAATGCATTCGACAAGTCGAGCGCCTCAATCCAAACGGTGCTTCTGAACTTGATATTGTAAGTATATGAATTACATGTTTCTTGATTATTAAATTATTTTTCTCATTTTATTAATTCTTATTTCTTCTTTTGTGATAGAATAAACGTGCTAGGATCATATTTGCAGAAGATCCAGAAGAAAAAAGAAAATTTCTATTTGATCGTCGGCCGATTTTGAAGGATGCAGAGAAATGGGCAAATATAAGCGTCATGTCTCCTGCAACTTCCAAAACTTCAAAGTCTCCATTATCTTAAGGATCTGATTCAAGCTCTTTTGTCATCAACTTAAATTAAGATAATGATGGATATACTCCTAATGACGACGACCATTCGCCAATCGACATTTCAACTAGTCGACCTATTGGAAGGAAGAAAGAGAAGTTGAGAAGACGACAAGAAATTGAAAAGAACATTAACTTTGAAGCTTTTGCTAAAGGAAATCAAGTAATCTTAGAAGTTTTAAAAAGAGGTAAAAAACAACGAGAAAATGAAAGAATGACGATGAACCATGCTATGATGTTAAAGGCTGAAAAGGATAAGAAAAAGTTAGATTTTTAGCTAGAACGACAAGAGAAAGAAATTATGCTAGTTGATCTGGATGCTATTACGATCCAACAAAACGCGAATATTTTCGAATTAAACAACAACAGATTTTAAATAGAAATATAACCAGGGGTTCCTCATCTGATACCCCTAATCCTGAATACGGCTACACAGAAAGTTAATACGGAATACCTGGCTACAGAGGAGGTGGATACAGAGGAGTTGACTTTCCAGACTTTTAGTATTTTTCATGTATTATGTTTTTCTTATTTGTCATGTAATTTTTAATTCATGCTTTTGTTTTCTATGTAATGATCGTGGATTTAGTATATCAAAGTTTGTTTATTTTAGTCCGAATGCCTATTTTATATTAATACATTTAATAATATTATATAACTTTTATTATATTTATTATTTTTATATAGTTAAAAAAACAACTCAAGAGTTTATTAAATTAATATATGGATATATTGAAATAGATAGAGTTAGATATAGAGATGATGGTTGGAATGGAGAAACTCCAAAAAAAACATATTCTCTTAAACATGCTTCAGCAGGGGCTGCAAAATGCAGTCCCTGGTTGGAGTTGCTCTTATTAGGGAAAGGATCGTCTTTCGTTCGTTGAGAGTCGAACTCAAGACCTCCCGCTTACTAAACGGGTGCTCTAACCAACTGAGCTACGAAAGCAACGTACAAGCGACCAAAATATTTTAAATAGTAACTAATGATTACCTGCACTACGCCAGTACCATGGGTGAATCTGATTTCTTTGATTTGCATATTTAATTTCTTTAGTATTTATGGGTTACTCTTTGGTTATGCTCATGTTCTTAAATTGAATTGCATAGAAGCTTTTCCCTTTGGATTATTGCACCTAGTTTCTGCCTTTCGTGTGCTTTAAATTCTCCCATAGTGTTTTGAACATATGTGAGATAAAAAGTGGATGCTTAAATATGAAATTCAAATGAGATGACATGATCCTAAAAAGGATTTTATCAGATAGCTTGCAATACAAAAAGATAATTAAATATTTTTAAATTTGAAATTGAAATTAGATGATTTAACCATTGATTCCTCTTTTATAAAAGCACTATTTTAATAATATTCTAAAACTCAAAAAATAGAAAAAAATGGTCACTAATCAAGTGTGTGGATAATTTTTATTTTGGATTCGAATCCTTTCCAATTAGATGGAAATTAGAGAAAGTTTTCTTTCAATTTTTAACATCTATATCACTTTCAGCGGATGAGATCATTCCATATAAGGTTTCTATTAGTATCTAAAAACCACTATAGTAAAAGCCATATCCTTTATTATAGATGATAACCAATATTTTCAAAAGTTATACCATTATGCTTTAGTATAGAGGAACGTGTATCTCATGTTTTAGATGGTTCAAAAGAGAGAATACAACATAAATATTGCATAGATCACAATGACAACCGGATGATGCCAAATATAATGAATGATCAAGATTTAGCTAGCCAAATTATGAAAAATCAAGTTTTAAGAAATGTAAATAAACCAAAAACTAGTGAAATTCGATAGGCTTTATAATACTCTACCCAAATTATAGGAAAATTTAACAAATAAAATCATATTCACATTAGCTAGCCAATTTCAGGTCTTCTATAGACTAATTTATAAACAAAGATATCATAAATTAATTTTTAAAAAATAGAGAAACTAATAGAAAAGATATCAAAAACCAAATCTCACAATGTATTCCATGCATAAAATTGTCTACCCAAATTACTGGAAAATTTAACAAATAAAATCATATTCACATTTAGCTAGCCAATTTCAGGCCTTCAATAGACTACTTTATAAACAAAGATATCATGAATTAATGTTTAAAAAAAATAAAGAAACTAATAGAAAAGATGTCAAAAACCGAACCTCACAATTAATGTATTCCATGCATAAAATTGTCTTATAATTAGACCATTAACATATTTTTTTTTTCATTTTTGTGATTCGTAACTTTCAAAATATCATAAAAGCTCCTAAAGTTTAGGGCTTAATAGAAAACACCACTTTAACAAAGTCATTTAAAAATCCCTCTAAAATGTGTCAGCAATTTTCCATTGGCGGATAAAATTATGAAAGGAGATGTTTCTGCTAATGAAAATTGTTGTTCGTGCTTTTAGGGGGGTTTAAAAGAAATCTTAAAGTTCAAAGGGAATTTTCTAATCATCCCTGACTTTAGGGGGTTTATGATACTTTAAAAATGGCTAAATATCATAATACCACCTAAACTTGCAATGATCGGCGGATAACCCCTCATGTATTTGCAAATATAAAAAAAAAACCCATTCAATTTAGGGGTTATCAGAAACACCCATTAACTTTAAGTTTTTCCCTTCCATAAAACTTGTCTAAAACGGAGAGCCTCAATTTTCACCGGCAAAAATAGTCCTCTGTAGTTTTACCCATCCATGAAAAAATTGCGATTAACGTTGTTTAGGAGGGTTTTTTTTGTAATGCATAAAATTTTAAGTTGTTTTTCCCCCTCTAATAACTATCTTCTAATATTTAGCCTTTTGAGAATTAAGGGGGGGTTATCTGAGTCATCAATTCAATCACTACAACAATTTGCGATAAGATAAGAACAAATCCAATCATGGACCTAATTTTACCTGCTCTTGTAGGGCGCGAGTGAGAGCGAAGGCGGACCGACCCATATTATATTATATACACGCATCACCAGCGTAATTCTCCTTCTCTCATCTCTATTAACTGCTTCAAATCCATCCTCTCAATTTGCTTTATATTTTCCAAAAAACAAAGACAAAAAAATTTGTCATTGTGGTCTCAAAAGTTAATTTTGCAAAAATAAAGAAAAGAAAACGGGCATAGAGAACTATAGGGAAAAGAGCATGAAAGGAGAGAGAAACTAATTAGGCTAATCAAAAAGACGAAATTCATATGAGATAGTTAGAGATTTTTAGCGGACCTTGTTAATTATTTTTAATTTTGAATTTTTAAAAAATAAGGCTAATAGCAATCTCTCTTTAACTAAAAACTCAAATTAAATATGAAAAGAAAAATTTTCTAAGGATCCAATATATGAGATCAACAGGGGGGACAAATGAGATGTCCCCCTCCTATTGCATCTCATTATGCAATAGGAGGAGGACACCTTACATGTCCTCCCTGTTGATCCCATATTTTGATCCCTATAACAAAGTTCATATAAAAAACACACATGGCTATCCTATAAATGACACGGGGCATGATATGAGAGACCTTTTGAAGAAAGCCACATGTTCCTCTTTATATAAAAAAGAGGGATATTGTCAAGACTTTTTGACAGATTGTATCCGCATATCAAATATGTTTTCTCTATATTTACCAACAAACTCTTCATATTTTGCAATCAGTCTCAGCAATCTTCAACTGAAATGAATTTAATTCATATTTTGAAATTTGAAATTAGTCCCCAAAAACCTTTCAACATGGTACCAACTAGAGGAACTGATTTTGGGAGACAGCCAAAATATCAAAAAATTGAAGACCTAGGGTACTAATTTAAAAATACGCAACATTGTCGGGACTAATTTAAAAGTATGAAAGCATTAAAAGGGACTAAGTTTAGAAATGAAAGGTTTAGAAAATGAAAGGAGTGGGGGCCTGAGATAAAAAACCCAATCGAACGAAGATGAACTAAATGCCAGAAGGCTGTTTCTTTTCGGGCCTTCTACTGAGTGGGCTTAGCCTATGTCAGCATGGGTCGCGAATTTAATTTGGGCCAAATGTGACTCTGCCCAAAAGGCTATTGGACCCTATAGTTTGGATCAAACAGCATTTTGTGAAGCTCAAAATACAACGTGGACCGTAGGTGAGAGGATAGGTAGCAAGAGTGGAGTTTATCTTTTTCCAGAAGGATATTTTCAAATATTTACGGTTGGTTGGCCTTTTTTTTTCCCTCCCTTGAAAGTTACTGGAGCTTATCTCATCTTGTTTGTTTGGTCAAATATGAGACTGGCGTGGCATTAAAAAAATTTCACTTGGCAGTCTCTATACAATTCGCTCTATATTGAAACGTTTTCGCTGGATTTTGCGCTATAGCAGTCAGGTGTACGAGGGCACTAATTTTTATAGCTATGGTGATTTTTTCAGGGATTTTATAAGAAAAAGAACCAAACAACCTCTAAATGGGAGAGCAAGTTGTCCCCCTTACTTGTTATCCAAACATTATTAAAGAAATATCTTGCAAAAATCATTAGTGTTTTGCCCATTAACCAAAAGCAACAAAGAGTTATTGGCACAAGTTTTAGTTGGAAAATATAGGGATTGTGAAATAAGAAAGACGTCTTTAATTGGAAAAATATCTTCAATTATTATTATTATTATTTCGTTTTAAAAAGACGGTTACATCTATACTTGACCCTTAGACCATTTCCCTTCATCAGATGTACCATACCACTTTACCTGGCAAATGACGTGCTTTCTGAAAGGGTGGCACTAAGGGCACACCCCCAACTACAACCTCAACCAACTTACTCTCTCATTTGTTACAGTGCACCGGGCCCCACATGAGATTTTAAATTTTTAAAATCCCATGTGAGGCCCGGTGTACTGTAGCAAATGAGAGAGAGGGTATGGTTGAGGTTGTGGTTAGGGGTGTGCTCCTATCATTTTCCTTTCTGAAAATAAAAATAAAAATAAAAATAATGATAATAATAATAATTGAAGATCGTTGAGAATCTTTTGCAAGGAACATGTCACCTTCACAAAGCTCAGAAGATTGATAACCCCCCTGACCTTATATCAATGAATTTTGGCGGTATGGGTTCTGACGTGGTCCTGGGCCTAATCTCAATGGGCCCATTCATCTAGTTCCCTATGATCAATTGATGTCTTTCTCTGTCCTTTTTTTCCCCTGCAACGCTACAAAATTACGAATTTTGTAATAGAAGCTGCGAGACCTACGCGCCGAAATATACAAATCATTTTAATCACGAGGTGGTAATAAATGATAAATGAAATGGGATCGAAGGCTTGAAAGAGTTAAGGGGTGACTTGCTAAATACACAACGTTATTTGATAAGAGGACTTTCATGTGATTAGACATTACGAAATCTTCACAGTTCTTTATCTCACGTTAGATTATTGATTCCTCTTTAAGGAAAATATGAATGAATCAATGTAATTCATTAGGGTATATGTTAGTATTAAAAATCAATGATAATCAGACGGAAAATATGAATCAATGTAATTCATTAGGGTATGTGTTAGTATTAAAAATAAATGATGATCAAACAGATAATATCCGAGCTAGATAGTAAGAATTAGAAGTAGAAAGTAAATCAAAAGAGGTACGTTAAAATGAAGTATATCTTCCTTGTGTCCATAGTAGCAAAGTCATAACGTTTCCGATTCCTAAACAAATCAAATAAAAATCCTCACCCTAATCATCAAGAGACCGCACCAAAAGAATACGAGAATGGAGAGGAGGAAAGTTTTACAAAAAAGCAATAATATACACTTATTATATTTAAAATGGTAATTTGTGTTTAAACCTTTTAATGTCCATTTATTTTATTTTTTTATTTGTCATGAAACAAATCGATACTTAACCGCTAATCAATTTTGGAAAGTTTTCTTACGTATTAACATGTTTAGTATTTTATGAACCCTATCCTACTGAAATTCCTAACTCCAAGAACAATTAAGAAATGTGATATTTAGCATTAAGTTGAACGCCAAGAACAAGGGTTCACATGGATTAGATAACTTATTACATAAAAGATAAAAAGTAATACCAATTATAAAAGAGTATTTACAAGCAATAATATTCTGTACCATATACATTTAGGAAGAAATGTAAAGAAAAGTTATTCTCCAAAATTTTGAGTCGGCTATATATATGAATTTGATTCGATTACCTTCTCCTTAATATTTAATCAACCATGAAACCAATAACTTCGGCAGTACATGATGACACCGTCCTTTAATTTTACCGAACAATAATGTTAAAAAAAAAAAAAAAAAATCTACTGAACAAGAATTCAGTAAACTACCTTTAAACATTCCACAAAAATCGACCTAAGATAAAATCCAAACAGTGACCCATGCGGGGGGCGGCGGGGGGGGCTAGTTCGCCGTCTCCATCAGTCAACCTACATGTAGGACGCTTAACAGATAATTTCATGGAGGATTCGGATAAACATGAGCTAAATACAGATTTATACGTATTATTGACTTCCGCAAAGAAACAGTTATATCTTCCAACCAAGAAGGCGGATTCTGACATATTATATATGTAAATCGTCTATCTTAACAAGACAGAGGCAACTAAATTGTCAGATTTTTAAAATCTCTTTAGTTTTTCTATTTTAACCTATGATGTAGGATGCTTAACAAACAATTTCATGGAGGATTCAGACAATCACGAGCTAAATACAGATTTATACTTATTATTGACTTTCGCAAAGAAACAGTCATATCTTCCAACCTAGAAAGTGGATTTTGACATGTTATATATGTAAATCGCCTATCTCGATGAGACGGAGCAAACTAGATTGTCAGATTTTTAAAATCTCATCAGTAATACATAGTTTTGGCTGAGATCCAAAAATAATCAGCTTTTAGTTTATTTTTAGTAATAAAGTTGGAGTCTATTTAGAATAGGAAATAAATTTAATATTAGAGTCAAATTAGATTAGGAAACAAATTTAATTTTGATTCATGATTTGTTTTCTCTATTATAGGCAGTCTTTTTAGGATAGAATTTGATAATTTCTATTTCTTGATTCATGATTTGTTTCCTAGACATATTATAGGGAAGTCTTTTTTAGGATAGAATTTGATACTTTCTATTTCTTGTAATTCTAGTGATTGCTATTTATTTTTCTATTTAAGAAGAGTCATGTAACTCCAAAAAATAACATCTTTTCATCAATAAAATTTCTCTTTTCAATATTTTCTTCGTGGATTTGAATATCGTTCTTTGTGGATTCAGAGAACACACTTGATAGATACGGAGGTTATCACTTCTGCGCTGCGACACACTTGATAGATACCGATGTTATCACTTCCGCGCTGCGTCAACCTAGTGCTGTAGAAGCTCTCTAGCCGCCTATTTAAGGATCAGGGCACATTCATTATTGTTGACAGCGTGGTCGCGCAAATTATACGTGGGTTGTTCTACTTCCTTCTCTGCTGAGAAAAAAAAATATGGCCATGGCTAATGAGTTTGCGAGCACCACCAAAGCCACCTCCATGGATGAAGCCCTAGAAATCGACCGCTACTCCGGCGATGGGCTCGATGACGACGGTCGACCAAAAAGAACAGGTGAGTTAATTTGTCTATTTTATCCGGTCAGTAAATAAATTCACTTACTATGAGTAACTATGCACGTCTGGCTCAAAATTTTTGTATATTCCGTATCTATTCTCTCTAGTTAATAAATTCATCCGACACATTTTCCGGGTGACTCAGAAATCCTCCGCATATTTTTTTCTTCTTTCAGTTTGGCGGTATTTTCACACGATTTGGTGTTTGGATTGAATTAATTTTATTATAGGGACGATGGTGACCGCAAGCGCTCATATCATAACAGCCGTTATTGGTTCTGGGGTGCTTTCGCTGGCATGGGCCATAGCCCAATTGGGCTGGGTTGTCGGGCCTACGGTCCTCATAGCCTTCTCCCTCATCACTTGGTTCTGCTCAAGTTTGCTTGTTGATTGCTACAGGTCTCACGGCAAGAGGAACTACACGTACATGGATGTTGTCAGAGCTAATCTAGGTCGGTATAACAAAAGTTTTAACATTGTTTGACGTTTTGGTAATTAAAACGCTTGTTTAATGGGAGAAAGCCAATTTCGAAGAATTTCATAGCTAGCATAGTTTTTATGTCATATAAAATAGCTAGCATAATTTCTTTCTTTTTGCACCCCCCTACCCTGAAGGTGGGATGAAGTTCAGACTGTGCGGATTCGCCCAATACTTGAACCTCGTTGGTGTGACCATTGGCTACACAATCACGACGGCAATTAGCATGGGGTAAGAACTCGAGCGCCAAAATGGCGTGCTCTCCTATTTCACGTCAAACTTTTGAGTTAGGCTACAACCTTTCTAACAAGTTACTTTATGGAAAATGGACGTGGATATGGATATGGATACGGATCAGAGCGGTTAAAAGGTCGAACTGTTTCCATAGGCACGGGCACGACGCAGACTGCGACGTGTCACATATCCCCTACATGATCATCTACGCGTGCCTCCAAATCGTGCTCTCCCAAATCCCCAACTTCCACAAGATTTGGTGGCTCTCCATCGGGGCAGCTATCATGTCCTTTGCCTACTCCTTCATTGGCCTTGGCCTCTCCGTCGCGACGATCGCGGGTGAGAGCCACACGTGATCGCATCATGCGTGTTGATTATGGCGCAAAGTTTTTAGCTCTTATCTTATAGATTCTCATTTGGAAAATGATTTAAGGACCCAAAATATGGGACCAAGGGAGGAAACAGGTGAGGTGTCCCCTCCCTATTGCATAATGAGTTGGCCATGCCAACTCATTATGCAATAGGGAGGGAACACCTCACATGTCTCATCCATTGGTCCCGTATTTTGGGTCCCCGTAGCGACACTCTTCTCATTTTTTACTTTGTCCCTTACCTAGTGATTTTTTTCTTTTTTTCTTTTTAATTTGGAGGTTCAGAGCGGGGTCATGAGGTGAGGACCACTCTCACTGGGGTCACAGTAGGAGTCGATGTGTCTGGAAGTGAGAAAGTGTGGAGGACATTTCAGGCTCTCGGAGATATAGCATTCGCTTATTCTTACTCCAATGTGCTCATTGAGATACAGGTAATGAGGTGCCTTTTTTTGCTTTGTTTTTATTTGATGCCGTTATTAATTAGAAAATGTACGTCTTGCTACCTAATAGATTTTATTTGTTCGTATTAGATGGCCATATGTGGATTTTTATCATAGTTTCCCCCCATATGATGCTTAACGGCTGGTGCCAACCTTGTAGTAGTATCTTTGGCTTGAGATATCCCTTGGTCTATAAGAACACATATCATAGAAAGTTTTTTTTCAAAAAAACTTACCTTCAATTATTAAGTTTTATGCACCATATCATATGATGCGTTTATTAGTTTATATGTTTAAAAAAACTTACCTTTATAGTAGCCTAATACTTTAATCAGATGAGAACAACTACAAACATCTACAAATAAAATAGACACACAACTATTCATGATATACGTGAAGAGAAAGATGGGATGGCACCCCTGGCCAAGAGATAAAAACCCTACAGTGGTGCTGAAAGATGCATACACATAAGACAATCAACGGGTCAACAACTTGTTGCGTCTCAAAACAGTCCCATGTTTTTTTGTTTTTACTAAGCCACGTGCTGCGAAACCATTGAAGCGAGGGCAAGCGTGTCCAAAAGTTAGCAGCGCCGTTCGCTGCTGAGGGGATCACGTGTGACATATCCACGGGAAATTGAACAAATTTTCACTGTAGACCCAAACCAAGTTTTAATTACCAAAATCGGCCCATTTTATGCCACGTAAGCTTAATCACATTTCTTAATTAGTCGGGGTTGCCAACCCCGACTGTTTAGGGCATTAAAAATTGGGTTTAAGGCTTCTAATTGGGGTTTAACAACTCCTAAACAGTCGGGGTTGGCAACCCCGACTAATTAGGAAATAAGATTAAGCTTATGTGGCATAAAATGGATCGATTTTGGTAATTTAAAAAAAAATGGGTCGATTTTGATAATTAAAACTTGGTTTGGGTCTACGGTGAAAATTTGTTCATTGGAAATTCTCATGGTAATCAGATGTGTACGTGTGAGCCACAGGTAGAAACAGCATTATCATCGATATCACGAAAAATAATGGGCTGGGCACTTCTCAAAAGGATGGCTTGAAATAAAAGATGGCCTGTAGCACTTTGCTCGTTTGAGATGCTCGTCAAAAGATCTTGCTTGACCAGTTGCTAATAATAGACAGCACAGGCAATCCCTTTTGAGTATTCGTGGTGACTCTTGAGCACCGTAGCTTTATGATCTTCTCAAATACAGATATATGCCCTTGGCCTGATTGGTTGGTTGTGTGTGTAGCTTGAAAATCAAGACGCAGAGGAAAATTCTATTCAAAATCTAAAAGATTCTACCTAAAAACAAAAAAAATAAATATTAACACGCCAACATGAATCTTAAAAAAAAAAAAATAGTTCGAATAGGTGAAAATTTAAGTGAACTTCCATAATCATGTTAAAAAGATAAACATGATTTCTTTAAAAATGCCAAATTGGAAACTAAATATGACTTGTTTCAAAGATAAATATTGTTAAATCTTGTAAGTATATAGTGATATTAAAAGACATATTTTCTATTTCGCAATGTAATTCTTGTGTGTGTGTGTGTGTGTAGGATACTCTTAAATCACACCCCCCAGAGAACAAGGTCATGAAGAAAGCCTCCTTCATAGGAGTATCAACCACAACCGTCTTCTACATGCTCTGCGGTGTCTTAGGCTATGCTGCATTTGGCAACAAAGCCCCCGGCAATTTCCTCACTGGGTTTGGCTTCTATGATCCCTTCTGGCTTGTTGATATCGGCAATATCTGCATCGCCGTCCATCTAATTGGTGCATACCAGGTATAATCACTATATCCACGATGAAATATAGGGTAATAAATCACACAAAATCATATATGGTGTTGAGGAAAGGCAGGTTTAAAAATAACACGCAACTCTCCTAACTTTCATTTTCTAGTTGAATAGCCACCAATTTTTTTCGAAGCCATCAATTTTCAAATAACTTAATTGCAGATATACCCATTACACGATAGATGGTTAGTAAACCTTACTCTCATGCCTAAGCAGAGTTCTCCCTTCGTTATTTATATCAGGGAATGCATGTTAATAAATGCCAAAAAGAGAACATGAGCAACACATTGAAATAATTACTGGTAGACGACAGAGAAATAATTACGCTTAGACGTCAAGTGGTCTAAGCGGTAATAAAAAGATACAGATGTAATAAGTGACAAAACCTATTGTATAGGAGGCGTATCTGCAATTAACCCCTTTAACATAGCAAACATCTAAATAATTGTCATATTTTATAATCACAATTTTTGTTCCCAAATTAATCTCATAATAATTGAAAGGTAAGAACCCAACTATCTCTTTGGTTACTGTAAAAAGCTTAATTGAATTTTCTATAATTTAACCCCAACTGCATGCAAACACAAAAACTATTCAGGCACCAAACATCTATCCTGAAACACAAAACTATTCGAGCACTAAACATAACCTGAAACTTTGCCAGGTTTTCTGCCAGCCAATCTTCCAGTTCATAGAGACCTCAGCTCGCAATCAATGGCCAGATAACGCATTCATCACAACCGAACACACCGTCAAAATCCCTTTAATTGGCGTTTATTCCTTCAACTTCTTTCGACTCATTTGGAGGACTGTATATGTGATAGTGACAGCAGTCACAGCGATGATCTTCCCTTTCTTCAATGATTTCTTGGGATTAATCGGAGCTCTTGCTTTCTGGCCTTTAACGGTTTATTTTCCCGTTGAGATGTATATCGCTCAGGCAAAGATTCCTAGGTTTTCGACGGTGTGGACATGGCTTAAAATCCTCAGCATGGTTTGCTTTGTAGTTTCAATAGGGGCAGCTTGTGGATCAGTACAGGGACTGATACATTCCCTTAAGGACTACAAGCCCTTCAGAGGTGTTTAATATGTTGAAGAGTGTGTCAATGGAGATGCTCGTTCTTCATTCCCTTCTTCCTTCAGACATGCAAAGGTATCTTTTATGAATGAATCGGTAGCAGAAACCATCCACAATTCAACCAACCTTGAAGCATTTTGGTTCACACATTTTGGCAGGAAAGTTTAACTGTGATATTCTTGTAAACCTATTTGTATCAAACTATCTTGATGCAATCATGTTCTGTATTATGGTCTAATAATGAGTTAATTTAGGTCCTCTTTCTCCTTAGAAGACATTTTGCTTTCAGCTGAGAGAATAAATTCTTCTTATTCCAATGCGAACTAACATTATTACGTTAATCACAACATACTTTTTATATAAACATTTGCACAAACTTTGTTTAGCCGAAAGACATGAAACTCAGTTTCAAACTATATGTGCTTGACCTGAATTGATTGGATAACAGAAGGGGCAGAGGATGAGCAGCTCAATTCAGAGACTACGAGGACTAAATCTCCATGTTTCACCGAACCCCTGAGCTTCATAAGGTTGATTGTTTTCTTGATACTAGCTTCTATATCTTCTGAGAATGGAAGTTCAATTGGAATGACGCCCCACAGCAAGTTCATAGACTTCCTGGCGCCAGGGTGATCAGTGAAGGCAAATATGGGAGGATTTGGACGATTACGTGATAGAAGAGAGGCCATGTATCCATGCTTTGTGAAAACGAAGATAGCATCTACTCCAAGGTTGTTAGCTGCAAGGAGATTACATAGTAGTTGTTCAGTTTTGTTACAAATATAACCAAAGTTGATAACGTTTGATTGCTTCTGTGATGACCATGGGTCAAACAAAATAAATGCAATCCACGTAAAGGTTGTTATGGAATTTGATTCCATTCCTTTCATCTAGGATTTTCCTAATAAGACTGACTTACATTATCTGATTAGTACCGGTAAGGGACACACAAGCGCCAAACATATTTGTAAGCCCTGAATTAAGGTTCTCATCTCTGATAACTATCTATGCATATTAGACATCTTTTTTACGTCATTAAGGTTGGTTTTCTTCTCTGAGCTAACTGTTAGTTCAACAAATCCAATTATCTACAAGATAACGTTGGGTGCAAAGAAGAACACAATTCCAGGATCTGTGTGAGACTAGAATGAATAAAAATGTGGTATATACCAACAACCAATCATGATTATATTTTATGGCTTAAGTATTAACACTTAATTCCTTTTGCCTTTGTGATAGAAGTAACAATAAAATACATAAATATTAGGATGGCACCTTAGACAGTAAGTAATCCAACTTCTGAGGGAAAGATTCCGTGAGGCCCTGGCCATCCCAGATCAAATGCAATATATATAATCAACATAAAGTTCATCCCTAAATTCGCTACCATGCTTTCCTCTCCTAGTTTCTAAATGCGACCCTAGTTTCTTTGTTGATTTATTACTTGCATGGCATAGACATGCCTCCTGTTATCCAAAAATAAAATAAAAATAAAATAAAATAAAATAAAAAAATTTGTGTGCCCCGAATGAGTATCTGATAGCTATCTATACATATTAGATACACATTCTTTTTTAGATTAATAATGTTCTTTTTCTTCCATAAGCTAACTGTTAGTTCTAGGAATCTAATTGTCCGCAATATAAATTGCAAGCATATAAGAGGCTCATGCTCATGCTCATGCTTCAAACAAAGCAGGTTGGGGATGTTAAGCCGAGAGAAAAGGTATCCTGGAGGGAGGCAAAATTATGATCAACCACGTTATAGGCCTAACTTTGATTAAATATGAAGCAATGTTCCCATTTTCAATTTAATCATGTGCACAAACAATATGATTCATCTATATGAAGTAAAACAAAGCATACTTAAATAAGAGGGCTTGATTATGACATGACTGGTCACAAATTAAAGGCGTGTAACTTTAAAATTTTCTCCCCTAAAAGGAGGGAATAGTTCCCTGCCTTTACTTAAAAATAGTGTTCACTTAATGATTCTCCTTGATATGTTCACTATTATGTTAGAACATAGAGGAAAAGGATACAGTAAGCAAAAGTTGAGTCACATTTTAAGATGGAGATAGAGCATTCTAACAGAAGCTAACAAGCAGAGGACCTACCCATTTCAACTGCACTGTTGCATATTTGCTCAGAGATGCGGTCCGGCAATGAGACTGCAAGCTGACTTTGAACAAGAAGGCTTTGACGGTTTTCCTCACGATTAGATAGCTCCATACGAGCACTAGCCATGCACAACACAGCAAGAGCCTTGTCAGCAAAGGATCCAACTGCTGACTCCCCAGATAACATTAACGCATCAGCGAACTGACGAACAGCCTCTGAAACATCTGCAACCTTTCAGTGTCAAAATAACATTCCATCAGAAAATGTGCGAAAGGGGGAAAAAGGAAGAAAGAATGAAACACCATGGTCATGAGTAATAATAAGAAAAACCTAGACTCCATTTCTGGTAGCTTCTAAAATAAGGCCAACAACCTACATATTAACTTCTAAAATTTAATTGCATTCAAATTTTGGACAGTGCAAAAAAAAATAAAAAAAACATACATAGTATTCAGGTTTATCGTTCTTGGTCTTCTCTTCTTTTTAAATTTGAATTTTTCATTTCTAATTCACAAAAGGAAAAAGTTTTTCTGCTATCAGTCCTCAAATTATAAAAATTTAACAGATCTCCCAAATATCATACTTCGGTGAAGTCTCTAAAATTGCTTAGTTTCTAGTGATTTGGAATAAACTGCCGTAGTTAAAATCTGTATACTGTAGATTTCATATCACAGTTACATTTTATCCCTATGTTTCTTCTTCCTCTTCTGACTTGCAATAAGAGGGGACAGATGAGCTCAGGGAGGCGGACATGTGGGCAGGCATTTGGATTTAGAGGAGGAAGTCAATACGGGAGAGGTCGAGATCGAGACCTAGAGAGGGGGAGATAGAGACACATTGAGGTCTAGGCCACCGGTGTTGGTGAAGCCAAATTCGTCCAGGCAGATGATTCCATTCGGGTCAAAGCACAGCCATTTGATGTGGATTCGGCCAAAGAGAGAGGATTGTGGAGGAGATAGGTGAGTTTAATTGGATTCTTAACTCAAAGTTAACTTTAAATGAAATTTAATAACAAAGACCGGGTAACCAACGTAATTGGAGCAACTTAATAACAAATATAACGTTTTGGAGAATTATTATTTCAAATTTATGTAAGTTGGCAGAGCGATATTAGAAAACCCCAAAGAAGGAATGATTTTTCTTTTCTTTTTTACATTTTTTTTATACTTCAAAGCAAAACAGAACAAAAAGAAAAAAGAAAGAAGCAATAGATAATGTATTTGCCTTAAGTTAAATGGAAATGTTATTTATTTACTTGTCATGTCGAAATTTAGAAAACAATGCAAATTTAGATGAAAAATTATTGCGAGTAAATGATCAAATATTACATAAATTGAAACTGCAAATTAGTTAATATATGTAGAGGTTAATTTGAATATGTAACCATATACTGTACTAGTTGCTTGCTTATTGTTATTCTTTGTTTTCTCATCAATAGTTTATGGCTTCAATAAAAATTCCATAAGGTTCTTTAGCAAATATTTTTAAGCTGAAAGTATGTGGAGTTTCACAGGGGATTAATCTGGTAAATTTCCTTTTGAAAAGCAACTTGCACTAGTTTGTCATCTACACTTAAATATAATAGACCCTACATAGATGGATTTGGTGTTTGTGTGTGCTCCATGAACTAGAACATTAACTACAGCATAGTAAAACTCTGGTCCAAATATCATTAGAAGATTCAGGCTATCTGTATACATACATCAGTGGAGGTAGGGTTCCCCTGGAAGGTGGAGGATGAGTTGTTAGGACTCATGTGTATGAGCCTACTCTCTAATATTGTTTTGATGATTTAACAAACAATTTATAACTAAGTTTGTTTCTAGTTGTTGTGGCTTGTTTCCTTAACTAGGTTGACGATATCTGATGAGAAGCTATTCTTTCAAGAGTCAAACATTCAAGAGCAAGCCATGTTCTCAATCACTTAGGTATATTTGTTTCATGTAGTATATATTGTGTGAAACTATTTCAAGCTTAATAATATACACACACACAATATTGGATTTTCTCACAAAATGAGCTATTTTGAGAAAACATTGTGATGGTGGTTTATCGATCATATTTACTTTTCATTCATGTGTTATAATGCTTATGAAAACATTTCATAAGGTTTCATAACTCTTTTCATGTCAAAAAATCTAAATTCTAGTTCTCTCATAAACATGTATTTATGTATGTTTTGCAAAACAATGTCTTTTCACAAATGGTAAATACAAATCCAAAAATTTCTGCACAAACATGTTTATGTTCATGTTTATAAACTTTCCCTAAAGTTTCATTATTTTTGCATATTATTTGTTATTTTTATTGTAATTTTAAAAGTCATATTTTAAACCTAAAAAACCCATGTATCAGTTTGCGGTCGACCGGACATGTTGCCGCGGTCGACCGCCTAGAAGCCCAGACTCTAGTCTGTTTCTCAGGCTCTTGCGATTGACCGGACGTGCCACCGCGGTCGACCGCCACAGTGAACGTTACACAGTAACGGCTAATTCTAGATTTTGTTTTCTTATGATTTTTAGTCTTTTTGCTTGGCTTTTTGTTGATGCCTTGAGATGTTATAAATAACCCTATGCTTTAAACTCTTTAACTAACCAAGAAAATTATTTAATCATGTTTTGCAAGAGTTTCAAGAGGTGTTTAGTTGGTGTTTCAAGTTTTGTTTCAAAAGAGGAGTTTTTCACAAAGAGAAGGATTTCAATTTCAATTGAGGAATTCACCCTCATCATCATTTCTACAACTCTTTGTGTTTATAGAGAAGTTTTCTAAACTCTATTATCTAGCTATTTTATCATTGAATTTCGTATTCATATTTTTGCTAGATTAATTTGAATTAGATTTTTATTGTTCTCATTTATCACACACATCCCTCTTGAGCTTTTGATATTTTATACAATATATTATTGGGTTGTGGTGGATGATATAGTAAGAGTGAGCTTTATTGTGTTCTCATTCAATGTAGAGAACAAATATTTGTATTTGAGCTTTATTTGTGAGTATCACTTTGTAATAGACATTTACACTGAGAGGAGTGTGTGGTGAGGACGTGGTCGATACCAAGAGGAGTGACGTCGGTAGTAAAACCTAAAAAGAGGTGTGAATCCGAACACTTGAGAGAGGCAACACGTGAGGACCAACACTGAGGTTGTAGTTTGTTTGATTACATTGTGACTGGATTGTGAGAGTTTTCGGTGAGCTAGAAAACCGAGTGTGTAGAATCTTTTTGAGAAGATAGCGAGATCTCCTCGAGGCGAGGAGTGGAGACGTAGGTCAAGGGTTGACCGAACTCCGTGAACAAATCTTATGTTTGCATTTGCATTGATGTACATTTATTTTGTGCTCTTGCTTATATCTTGTTTATCTTGCTTGTAATTTATATTCTTGCTCATTATTCATTTATCTTGCTTGTAATTTATATTCTTGCTCATAATTCATTCATATATCTCTTGCAAGAATTAATGAATTAATAAGTTTTTAAATTGGCATAATATCAGATTAGATTAGCATTAACCTTATTCACCCCCTAGGGTACTTTCAATTGGTATCAGAGCCTGGTGTTCTTGACTAGAGGTTTAACCGCCTTGAGTCAAAAATCCAAATTATCTTGTATTGCTAATCTTGTTTTATTTTTATTTATATCTTACTTGCATATATATCATGGACATGCACAGTGTACCTAATCTTGGTTATGCTACTAACATTGCTCCTAGAATCAGCAATTTTCCTTATGCTCAATGGTATGTTAAATTTAAGTTATTTGCTAGATCTAAGAATATCGATATATGAGAAATTATTGAATGCGCTTATTTTGTACCCATTACGGAGAAATCCAAGTGGAATAATAATGATAATAGATTGTTTGCAATGAACAAGATTTTGTTAGAATTCTTAATTGATGCCTTTGGCTTATCTTTTCTAACAAACTTGATTCTTTTGATAGTGCTTACAATTTGTGGAAACTTATAGAAGCACATCAAGAGAACTTGAAGGCGATCCGACAAACTATGGAGGATTCCATTTTAAGTTCAAAAAAAGCTCATCTTCATACACACCACCACTAAGCGATAGCCCTAGTGAGGTATACGAGTCTAATAACGATAATGATTTTACTTTTGATGAACTCGCACATGAATATGAAAAATTATTGCATGACCATAAGAAATTACAACATAATTTTAAAGATTTGAAAAGCAAGCATGTTATATTTAAATCCGATCATGAGTTTCTTATATCTAAGTTTGATTTCATTGCAAATGAAAATGTAAATCTTAAAGAAATTAACGAAAAATTAAAATTGGATATTGCTAGCTTGACTCATGATAAAAACAATGTCATGTTAGAAGTAGAAGCAAGTAAAAATAAGCTCAACACTCTTGTAAATGATTTTATCCATTCTACTTCTATTGACAATGCACATATATCTAATGATGAGTTGAATCATATGAAGAAACGCATATCCTCCTTAGATTCAACTTTACATACATGCATTGTGAATAATAATAAGCTTATGGACTTGTGTGTAAAGTTTCATGAAGATACTTTTAAAAAACACATTCACTAGCACACATATATAACAAAGTTTACAAATGTACCATTTGCGGGCGAAAATATCATATTGATAAATTTTGTTATGATGCCCAAAAATCCACCATGTCCAAAAATATTGATCCTTGTATATCCCATCAAGCTTTTTCATCACATACACATGTACATACACCTATTGCACATCATAAATATGCTCATGTGTATAAGTGTGATTTTTGTGATCGTTTTGATCATTTGACCAAAATTTGTTTTGATTTGAAGAGAGTTTCTCGTTTGCAAAATAATTTCAAAGAAAAATCTATTTTTGCAAATAATTAACGTGCACCACCACTTGGTCAACACAAACCTTTTAGACCCTTTCATTGCACTCATTGCAATCGAAATGAACATTTATATGAATTTTGTTTTGACCATGTTCGTGCACCCTATACGCCCAAATTAGTTCATAACCCAAGAGCATTGAACTTAAATGATAGGGATCATGTCCCTGATCTTATTGGTACCAAAAATATTTGGGTACCAAAATGTGCTTGATTTTAAAATTTTAAATATTGTTTGTTTGGTTTTTGAATTTCATATTTTCAAAATTCTATTTGAAGTTAAAATAATCTTGAGTAAAAATTTATGGATTTTCTTGCAAATTACATATTGAATGTATTTTCTGATCTTTGAATATACTATTATTAATATATCTATATTGTAGAATAAAACAAATTTACAAATTTTTGTCTGTTTTTTAAAGTTTACTCAGAGTCAGATTCCTCGCGGTCGACCGTGAGTGTCGCGACGGTCAACCGGAGAGTGTATATTTGCACTCAGTTTCTGGATTTTTTCGCGGTCGATCGAGCACGTCTCAACGGTCGATCGGACAGGGTGAATGTCTGTACCCAGTTTTCATTGTGTTTTCGGGTTTTGGGTTTTGTTTCTCAAACTGTTTGTGACCCGTTTGCTCTTCATCGTCGATCCAGAGTCCAAATTGATCTAAACCCTTGATCTTACCCTCATATGTGATCTGATCCCTCTTCTTCATCCCATCGTTCTTAATTTGATTTCATCCTCTTCAAACCCTAGTTTTCTTTCCCGCTCCTTCACGGTCTACCGTCGCCCTCTCTACGGTCGCCTGCTGCTGTTGAGCCTGAAAGGGAACTCTCCTTGTCGAGCTCATCTTCTGGTCATCATCTTTTAGTAAAGCCCTGAACTCTATCTCTTTCTTTTTTATCTGTGTCATCTTATCTAGGGTTCCGATCTCAAGCTAAGTTCCTGCTATGTTTAAATCCTCTTTGTTATCATGCCTCCTCTTAGGAAGAGATCTAAAAAGGACAAAGTTCATTTTCCTAAAGCTGTGCATTATGAAGATTATCTTAGGAACAAAACTCTAGTTCAAAAATATAAGGAGCTTAGCAATCTGAAAATTTATCCTGAAAATTTATCCTGGTAGGTGTGTTAATTTTGATGATCTCATGCCCTACCTAATCCCCTAATATTTTAGAGATATAGGGTTGCTCGATCTCGTCCCACACAAAGAAAGTTCCGCATTACTCATTCCTTGTTTATCTGTTTTATGCTAACATGACTATCATGATGCCTGATAACGAAACCTATGTCATCAGAACTTATGTTAAAAATATAGAAATTGTTTTCTCAGTTGCTGAACTTTCAAAAATTCTTAAAATTCCTGCAAGAGATATTAATCTTATTAATGTTGAGCAGGATGATCCTGATGTTAATTCTCTGATTTTTCGTACTGGCTGTAATTATCCTATGTCTAACAATTCTCTTAATCCTACTGCTAAACTCATTACTAGAATTGCTGCTTACAACTTGATCCCCAAGACCGGTAGTTTCAATCATTTTGCTCCCAATAAAGTAGCTATTGTTTATGCCATCTTTGCAAAAAATTAAGTCAATTGGAGAAAAGTTTTCTTTGACATCATGTCGGGTCCTCATTACAAGTTCCTTCCCTTTGGGTCCATCATTACCAAAATTCTCACCCATTTCCGTGTCGACCTTACTAATGAACCCAAAGTTGAACCCAGTAAGGAATTCTTTGATAGAACTGCTCTTATTAGGATGAGACTTTTAGAATCTCATTTATCTACTCCTCAAGTCACTGTAGATCTGATCTGCTGATGCATCATCTTCCAGATCCCCTTCCAGTCCTACACCTCATCCTCGTACTCGTACATCTTCCACTTCTGATGAGGTTATCACTCGTTTGGATAGTTTTGATGCTCGACTCACTAGACTTGAGCGTAATGTTGATGAGATTCTTAGACTCTAGCGTCAGTCTCTTGGGATTCAGCTTCAGATCCAGGTGCAGACTCTGGTTCATCTGATGGTGATGATGAATGAAGACCTATTACCCTCTTTGGACACTCTCTCTTGGACTTTGTATTTTGTATGAACTTGGTAGAAGAAAAACTTATGCTTTTTATTTGGGTTTGTAATATTTTAGTTAACTTAAACTTATTTCAATCTCTGTAGGATTTTGTGGATTTGGAACACTTGTGTGGTTTAAAGACTTTGGATGATTACTTTTCTATGTATTTTGGAATATTTTCATGGGTTTTGTGGTAGCTATGACATGTGTATTTCTTACAGGTGGAACATTACATAATCTTTGACATGTTATAAGCTAACTTCATATGATTTGTCTCCCTTTAATATATAAGGGTGAACTTGAAATTCTTACGCTTTATATCTAGGTAAGTCAATTTTGGCCCATACCCATTTACTCACCTAACCCGTCCATCACTTGACCCGTCCAAAACCCACCCATTTAATTAAATAGGCCTAATCGGGCGGGTCCATTTTACATCATATTAAATGGGCGCTAAATGGGCGGTCTATACTCGCCCGCCCGCCCG